CTTCTCCAAGAAGGCAAATGTGCTAGTTTCTGGACTTATGAACTTAGCATGGATCATATCATAAATTCAGAATGAGGAGAACCTGAGATATTAATACAAACACTATGAAAAGTATCATGCTTCAGTATAAAGATCTGGGCATGTTCAGGAAAAAGTAATGATTTCTCATTGTAAATATAAGGGAAAACTTCATGGGAAAGGTACTTCATGGGCCATAAATCTCAATTTTGGATGCTGGAGAAGTAGAAAGAGGTAAAATGAGGCACTTTTAAACACTTCACTTTAAAACACTGCTTTGAAAGCAGTTAAACATGACTTTTCCTGGAAGACACACTATTTGGCTTGTCCTTTTGCTAACAGAACAATATACTGGTGCTGCAGAGGATGTGAGCCTTTCAGCTCCAGGAAATGAATCTGCATTCATCTAAATCAATCCGTGGAAATTCCATTCCTGTTGCCTGTCATTGGCTCAAGCATAGGCATGTGACACGATTTGAACCAATGAGATATGAAGGGAAATACACTAAAAGCGTTGCTCCTAATTTCTAATAAAGGGAGGAAGGTCAGGAAAAAACAAAACACAAAACAATGGGAGTGCAAACTGGTCCAGCCACTATGGAGAGCTGTGTGGAGATTTCTGGACCTACTAAACATGGAGCTTCCATATGATCCAGCAATTCCACTCCTAGGTATTTACCCAAAGGACACAGAAACATCCATTCCAAAGAACACCTGCACCCCTATGTTTATAGCAGCACTGTTTACAATAGCTAAGCTTTGGAAACAACCCAAATGCCCAAAAATAGATGACTGGATCAAAAAGATGTGGTACATATACACCATGGAATATTACTCAGCATTCAAAAAAGATAAACACATGCAATTTGCAGCAACATGGATGGCGCTGGAAGGGATCATGCTCAGCGAAATAAGCCAAAAAGAAAAAGAAAAATACCGGATGGTCTCACTCATAGCAGGAATCTAGAAAACTTAAATAAGGGACCAGGAAAATGAATAACTATAAGAAAGTGAAAATCAGAATCAACAAAAAACTATGAACCAGGGACACTTTTGGGGGGGGTGGGGGCGGGAGGGGAGGGATTGGGATCAGAATGGGGGGGTTGCAATTGTATGGGGAATATAAAAATAAAATTTATTTTAAAAAAAAACACAAAACAACAACAAAATAACAGAAAATCTTCTTCCTTGATGATGACATCAAGCCACTTGAGCTAACCAATCTGAAATGGATCTAATCTAAAATTTTGTAAGTTTTCTTACTGTTTTAGTAACTTCTGCTTGGATGTTTGTGGTAGTTATGTCACATCTAGCACATCAGTATACCCCAGCTGACCCACTCACCGACTTGAAACTTGCTTTCCTCTCCACTGGTTCCACCCTCTGTTATAAAAGTCACTCCTTTGCCTTATCAAGAATGGAGATTTTAAAAAGAGACAAAGCATGGAGATTAACCTGTGAGATGACAACATACTTAGGCACAGAGGCCCAGGGGAGAAATAAAAAGCCATTTTAAAAGCAAAAGAAAACAACTGCACAATGAAATACCCTGACTAATATCACTACTGTTCCTAATCCTTTGGTTTAGAGGATTTGTTTCTCTCTCATAGGATGGTGGAGAAATGAAAAGATAAAGGAAGCAAGTATATGCCAGCCCAGCAGAAAAGATAGTTCTTCTGGATTCACACAAGAAAGCTAGAATTCTCTGATAATTCCCAATGGAGCCAATGTACCTCTGGAACAATCTAACTGTTAAAAACTGCCAGTGTGTGGCAGGAAGCCAATGACAATGCGCTGTCCCAAGAGCCGTGATCAATCCCAGGGGCCGAGGCCTGCCCAAATTGTGAACCAGCCAACTGTCTCCAATCTCCACCCCTTTCCCATTGCCTTCCTATTCCTATTCCTCCTCCTCTTTTTCTAGTCTTAGAATATTCTGTCTCCCATTCCTTCTTCTCTCCCCTCGTTCAACAATTTATATCCTGCTTGCCTGATGAGCACAGAAGGTACTAAGCAACTTCCCTCAAGGCCTTTGCTTTTTAACAGGGAGCGATTACACGCCCTAAGTAATACTTCCCTGCCACTAGGAATGTAACAGGGTGGTCCTCAGGAAAGGGGGAGGTTCCCTGCCCCACCCAAGGAAGGGTGGAGCTGAGCAGGAAGAGAAGAAGCTGCAAGAAGAGACTGAGGAAGGAAGGAAGCAGGATGGAGCCAGGAGACCTGGAGGAGGCGCATGGAGCCTAGAGACACGTGAAGAAACTGCGCTTGTCTTTGGGTTGTGGACTGGGTGACACAGATGTGGGTGAGACCTGTGGGGAGGTGACAATGGCAGCTTTTATCTTGATGTTGATTTTGCTCTTTTCCTTCCTGGCTTGTCCGGTTGTTTGTGACCCTTTTCTGTGGGTCCCCACTGGAAGATGCTTTAGACTTGTGGCAGGCTTTGGGGCCTTGCTCTACACCATTCCCATATGGATGGACTTTTACCCACGAGGGGACGGGTAACTTTGGGTGCTTGATTTAGAAACTAGATTATTTGCCTTACCTGTATTGTTTCCTAGTTTTATTAAAGTTCCTTCCCATTAAAGTCTCATATGTTTTGTGTTGATGCGGCGGATGGCAGAACCCATTTAGAATAGGCAGGTTTGAGGGGTTTGGGCTGCCCCTCTCTCTGTCCTATAACAGGAATTCAAGTTTAGACTGGCAGTGGGGACATGACTGGCATCAAGTGCAACACTTCCTGTGCCATGAAAAGTCAGCTTAGGTGGAGGACCACAGACTGCACCCCTAGTCTCTGCCAACTGGTGGGGATATTCAGGTCACAAGGATGTTACCTTAAATTCTCTCTGCCAGCTGACACAGGACTTGATCTTCTTCTCACATACCAACACCCACACTGCCTGGCTTGTGCTACTCACATTCAGTCTCAATTTAGATGTCCTTTTCTGAAGGAGTACTTCCCTGGTTGGCCCCTAAGTAGGGGCCCCTGGCCCATGATATTGAAGCTCCCTCCTAAGCACTGATCACACTGATAAGCAATCTGTGAATGCTCAGTAAGCCAGTATCTACCATAGCCCTGACAGATGGGCAGACGGATGGATGGTATGAATGAATGAATGAATATCTGTTCACATATACTGTAGCTCTGCAGAGATCATGACCATCTCATTCCCCACTGTACCTCAGCACCCAGTCCAACGTATGGCCAGGGTGATTTTACTAGACTGAAACCAGTCTTCATAAGATTTGCATACTTGCTTTTATAGTGATGTCGAACACTCCTGATGTCCTTACTGCAAGGGCCAGAAGCACAGCCCTGTGACCTTATCTAGACTATCTAGGGTGGGGGAAACAGGGATAGCTAAAACAACAACAACAACAAAAAAACAAATAACCTTTGGGAGTACAATTGTGGGGGTTGGGCTCCTCTCAACCCCAGTCCAAGTTTTCTAGGAATTCTTGACCTGGGGCTCACAAACGGGGCTTCCATTAAACTTTTAATCCATTAAACTTCTGGTACTTGAACCAAACATGCCAGTAACCGCACTTTTCTGGCAGAGGGTCTGTGGGCTTCAATGAGCCTTAAAAGGTTCTGACATAAAAAAGAATCAGTTGCTCTGGCTCTGCACTGCCCAATTTGATAGCCAGTAGCCACACGTGGCGATTTAAATTTAAATGTTCGGAGCCTCAGTCACCTTATCTATGTCTTGTGCTCAGTAAGCACTGCCTTTTGGGTAGCCCGGATAAAGAACATTTCCATTGTTGTAGAACATTATAGAGCATCTCTGTATTGGTAGCACTACTCTGGATCCAGTGCACAAAGATTTAATTGAATCCTGTAGCGCTTTTGAGTTGCCATCACTTGGAAATGAAAACATACATATCTAAAACCCTGATTTCTTCTGGAAAAGAGGACCGTCAGCTTGGGGTCCTGGGTCTAAGTGCAGTTGCCTCCATGCCCCTCTGCTACATTTGAGTTTGCACCCTCGTTTCCAGGGACTTCTACCTTAGCCTCCTTCTGTTAGGGAGAAATGATGTCCTGAGCTAATCCCATACAGGCTTTGTGGACCCCACCCCCAGTCCAGACTAAAGCCATCAAGACATTGGGAAAGACAAATCCCATCACCACCAAAGGGAAGGTGGCTGGGACCTGAGGGTGGAATTAAGCAGCCAGGTTGGGTATAAAAACCAAACACGTGGGCCTTGGGGGGCTCGCTGTCTCCTGGCTTCACGGCTCCTGGCTTGCAGCCAGCTCTCAGAGTGCCATTTGGGATTCCTGATCGGCAGATCGGGTAGGACTCATTTAAAACTTTGTCTCCCACTTTTCTCCCTGAGCTGTACATTTCCTCATTTCCCCTTCCCTTGTAAATAAACCTTTTATTAACCTTTCACATGTGCCTGCAGTAGAGCATTGATAAGTCCTTTTAAGCGCGCGGGTGAGGACCCACAGTCAGGCACCCCGTTTTGTATGGGGGTTGCTCTACAACACTTCCAGTCTCTCGTGTTTGCAACCGTCCTCCAAGTTAGGGTGGGTGGGGTTGATCGCCTGGTGGAAGCCCCCAAGTCTTGGGGCGCGGTCCGGTGGAGAGTCCAGCCCTCCTCGCAGCTCTCCCGAAGAAAAGAGGGAATTTCATCCTGCACATCTGTTGCTTGACAAAGAACTTCTTCCCGGTCTTCCGCCGCCTAGCCCTCCAGTCCCCAGTCGGGTTCGCCTGGGCCCGCCCCTCGCGACGAGATCGCGGGGAGGGGCCGAGGGAAACCCGAGGCCCGCGCCCACCACCCGGGCGGACGACGTGGCTCCGCGGCCCTGGCCTCCCCCCGCGGCCCGGCGGCCAATGGGCTCGTGAGACGGGCAGCCCCGCTTCCCCGCCGGCGCCCGGGGCGCGCTGCTCGGCTCTGGCACAGGGAGGGCGCTGGCCAAGGGGCTGGCCCGTCCCCTCCCCCGCGCGCTGCGGGTCCCCACTCCCCAGTCGCCGCCCTCGCCGCGCGCTCGGGGCCTCCCTGCGGGCCGCTCTCTGCTCGCCACGATGGAGCGCAGCGGCCGCGGCCGCAGCCTGGGGCTCGCCCTGGGGCTGCTGCTGGCGCTGGCGCTGGCGCCCCGGGCGCTGCGGGCCAAGCCCACCGTGCGCAAGGAGCGCGTGGTGCGGCCCGACTCGGAGCTGGGCGAGCGGCCGCCCGAGGACAACCAGAGCTTCCAGTACGACCACGAGGCCTTCCTGGGCAAGGAGGACTCCAAGACCTTCGACCAGCTCACCTCGGAGGAGAGCAAGGAGAGGCTGGGGTGAGGCCGCGATCGGGGGCGCCGCAGGGTGCCCGGGGGGTGCCCGGGGCGCGCCCGGGGCCGGAGCCACGCGGGACGCGAGCCGCAAAGCGAAAGCGAAATCGGGCGCGCGGGTGGGGCGGGGTGGGGGGTGGAGAGGGGCCGGGGCCGCCGGGCGCAGCGGCCGGGCCGGTGCCAAGTTGCCCGCTGCGCCCCGGACCTCCGCGTGGAGCTCGCGGCCGCGCCCCGTGCGGGGTGGATTCCCGCTGGGCAGCGAGAACGTGGCAGCAGCCGCGGGAGCCCGGCCCGCGAGGGCCCGCCCCCTCCCGTGGTTGCATCAGAAGGGAGGGGAGAGAGTAACAAGAAGAGTTTGTCTAGGGTGGCTTTTTAGTGGCCTGAGTGCTTCCCAACCCTCCTAGTTTCCCGCTTCTCCTCCTGGCCCGTAGAGGAGGACTTGAGACGCCCAGAAGGATGGACAGAAGTGGATTGACGGTGAAGGGGGCAGATGAAGGACATAACTGTGCCCCTGGGCCAGTCAGTGCTGGGGTATTCTTGCCTTTAGCCCAATGGCCCAGCCCATCCAGTGGCAGTGTGTAAAAAGACTGTTTTTGAGAGGGGAGGGGATTTGGGGGACAGGAGATGGGAGTTGGACGGGACATGGAAACTGGCCCCCTAGTTTGTTTCCAGCGATGTCTGCAGAGGCACCCCGTCCCTTGATAAATGAGGACAAAAAGCTAGGGGTGGTGTGGTGATGGATTGCGAATTTCCCTGTTGAAGGCAGGTAAATCAGGAACCAGACCTGAGAAACAGAACTTTGTAACATCCCAGTCAACCCTCTTCAGGTCCTCTGGGGACACACACACCGGCATTGTGCAAAGGCATCTAGAAACCTTTTCACGGAGGAATCAGCACCCAGCCTGGTCCCAGATGGAGGCTGGGCTGCGGAGGATACCAGTGACCCTGCCTCCTGGAGGGGGCCCCTGGAGGTGGAGGCTCTTCATATCCTGCTGCATAAAAGAGAACACAGCCATCCCTGTGCTGATGGGGGCCACCAAAGGCCAATGTGGTTGGTTAGCGTATAAAGCTAAATTACACCTATTGTGTAGGTGCACCATCTGCCTGCTCTGATAAAAAGATCTTTGAACTTCAAAGTCACCTCCAAACAATCACCTTTTATTTTGCAGAGAAGTACTTTCTCTTCGTGTCTGAGACTTAACAATGGGGGCCATTAATAAGTTCAGTCTATTGTATTGCTCTGAGACACTTGGAAACGGATTTATTCTTGGGCCTTGAATGGCAGCCATTGGCAGCCGTATCAGAGGGCGGGGGAGGTTTTGGGATGTAGAGAACTGCTGTAGTTTGCCATCCTTCAGGTTCCAATTTAATGCCTTCATAATGACCCATAAGTGCAGCAGTGAGAGAAGGCCTGGTGGAGTTGGTCTGCCTTTGATTGCTGGACACACATCTTAGCTTCATTTATTCATGCAACAAACCTTTGAATGGCTGCCGTGTGCCAGCCAGGGCATTAGGTATCTGGCAGGTACAAAGGGAACTTTATGCTTAGTTTTTGTAAGTACTTATAATCAAACCTGGAGGAGAGAAACACAAGCAGACACACACATAATTGCTGGGATGGCAGCCCGTAAACCGGCAGTGACCACATCCAGGAGGAGGCTCTAGGACTTTAGCTTGGAGAGAGGATCTTGGGGGGTTGGGGATGTCAACTGAGCAGAGCTTATGGGGTGATCCAGAGGTTGCCAGGTGTACGAAGTTTATAAAACCTGTTCTGGGAGATGAAGGGCCTTGGGGTAGTGGTGTTGGACAGTGTTAGGAAGAAGTAGGAGGCGGGAGTAGAGAGGGAATCGAGGGCAGAGCAGGAAAGGCCTTTGTGAGTGGGAGATTAGAGGCTATCCTGTGTGTGGCGGAAATGTCATCATCCCAGAAACTTGCTGGGAAGGTCAGACTAGCAGCAGGGCAGAGAACAGAATTGAGGCACAGATAGAACCCACAGGGAGGGGAATGGTGGTGAACACCAGAACCCCTCATGACCAGTCCGGGTGGCAGGAGGGTGAGTCCAGACACATGGGAGGGGGAACTGGCAGTGCCTGCCCCTACCTCAATATGGAGGGGTAATGGGGGTGACATCTGGGTCTCTGGATGGGCAGTGGCTGTGCTGCTCACCTGCAAGGGAGAGCTGGGTTAGAGGGGTGGAGGGCAGAGAGCTGGAAACCAAGGACCCAGTTTGGGATGGGGCCAAATGTGAGCAGCCTGGACTGCTGGATCTGGGCGACTCTGTCACCCCTTGTCCACAGGTTCTGAAAATGTGACAGCTCTAACACCCCGGGTGGGGGGGTGCTGCAAAGTCACATTGGCAACCCGAAGTCACAAAGGGGCTGTGCGGTCCTAGGAAAAATGTGAACACTTGCCAACATTTAAAATCAGAGTGATCCAGATGCAGGTCCTGATTTCTGGTTTCTCTTGAGGTCTGTGGACCATTATTCCCACGGGGCCACCAGGTCTGCAGCAGAGTTGGACAGTCTTGCTGGCAGCCATCTCCAGGTTGCCCTCAGCTCTGTCTGAAGGCTTCATTCACATCTGGTACCTGATGGGTGTCCTTGAGTTCTCCCTCCACCTGGGTGCTAGGTTACGGTCCTCAGTGAAGACAGGCTCATAGTCTCCCCTTTATTCCTCACAACCTACTTTGTAACATAGGTTTTCCACTTTATAGCCGGGGAAACTGAGATCCAGGGAGGCAAGTCCCTTGCCCAAGGTCACACAGGAGTAGGATCTAGGCATTCTGATTATAGTATTTGCCATTCCCAGTTTCTCCTGAGATTTTTGAAGCGTAAGATTAAGATCTTACTTCTTATAATAAATATTCATTAAGCTCCTACTATGTGTTGGGCTGAGGGGCATCCTGGTTATATTTTTGGCATAGATCAGAGGCTGTCGTTTCCACAAAAGGTTGTACACGGTTGACGCTAGGTCTCCACAGCACTGAGACTCTGTTCCCTGGGCTTGGAGCAGCATCTGGGACACAGTGGGCTGGCTGAACAGTGTTCAGTGTCGAGAGAATTCTGCTGTGTCTGCTGTCATTTCCTAGAAGGAAGCCTGAATACCGAGGTTTAGTCTTTTAGTCTTGAAACCTATTAAAATTGCAAACGAAGGGACACATTAAGTGTTAGATGCTGACACTTTTCCGAGGAAGAAGATCTCGGGCTGCTCAGGTTCGGGGAGGAGATGAAGACTTGAGTGCTAGTGAATTCATTTCTTACTTCCAATTAATCAGAGATTAGCTGTGTCATAACTTCTGTTCACAGTAAGGAAATTTTACCACTGGGTTGATAGACTTCCACCCCAAAGCTATGAAACCTGTTCCTAATTAGCCAGCATGACTCATCCCGGGTAAATTGACTACTAGGGTAAAATATTTTTAAACATTGAAAATATCTTTAGGTGTCTTCAGACACCCTACAGTGATGGCGTCGCTGGCTTGAGACCCTGTCTCTGGCCTAGATGTGGGTACGTGGTGAGTTCCCAGCCCAGTCTTTGCTGAAGACTAGGGGTTGGCGCTTCTCGGTCGAGTGCAGTGGGAAACCGCTGGGCCAGCTGTGAGCAGGAGGCAGCAGTGGACTTAGGCGTCTTCACCATAAGAATAGGGTTTAGGCTTCTGCAGTGCTGGGCTGGTCACATTTCTTGAATGGTGTCCTTGATGGCAAGGTTTTTATATGCTGTGACCAAAAAGATCTGGTCTCTACCTACTTTAAATTTCAAGTCTTTGAGTCCAAAGTGGTGAAATTTAAAAAAAAATTCACTTTTTTTTTTTATTTATCTAGACTGAACCAAGAGCCAGAAGACATGAGTTCTTCTCCCAGTCATTAAATGCTGGCTGTGTGACCTTGGAAAATGCAAATTCTTGCACCCTCAGTTTCCATTATTACTTTGAAACGAGGGGCTACATCAGGGAAGATTGTTGGGTTTCATCTCTCAGATCAACTTTAACCAGTCGGTGGTGTCCATCTGTTGAGCACTGTGTTGAGAAGGATTCTGAGGCCACCTGTAGGTTTATCAGGATGAGGGGCATTGGCACTGGGTAGGGATAGAGGAGGCATATGATCCTATGAAATATAAATTAAATATAAAATTAAATATAAATGTTAAGATCCTTTCTAGCACTGTGGGATCATTGTTTTATTTTCATGTTTATGCATTTTTGATTCTGCAGGCATTTGACCTTTCCAGGATCAGGATCATATAACCTTAATAGCATCTGGGTCTTTTTTCTTTTGACTACAGGAAGATCGTCGATCGAATCGACGATGATGGGGATGGTTTTGTCACCACTGAGGAGCTGAAAATCTGGATCAAACGGGTGCAGAAAAGATACATCTATGATAATGTTGCTAAAGTCTGGAAGGATTATGATCGGGACAAAGATGATAAAATTTCCTGGGAAGAATACAAACAAGCCACCTATGGTTATTACCTAGGTAAGAAGAGCCACAGGAGCTGTCACACAGCTGGGGTCCACATCACCAGAGACTGCTCACTCTCTCACTATATTCACCCCTTTGGGGAGATGTCACAACCTCTTTAGTAGGGCCTGCTGGTGTAACAGCCTCCTCTCCTTACTAAGACAGGACCAAGTTACTTACTCTGAAGTCATAGGTAGTGAGAAGGCGAGAGGTCAAGAGTTTAATAATAAAAGACTTCGGTTACTTCTCTCCCTGGCATATGATCTCAGAGGTACACTCAAAGGACAAAGCAGAAAGTAAGCATGTCTGTGTACAGTTTCAAAATGCTGCTCAGTCTCAGATGTCAAGGACTGAGTGGGCTGGAGCAATCAGGCTATCTGGTCGAGGGTGGTTTGGGAGCTGGGCATTGAAGGATGGATTTATATTGAAAGAGATAAAGATGAGTGGGGTAGGTGGGTCAGCTGCAGGAGCAGAATTGCTGCAATGCAGTCAGCAGTAGTTTGGATACAGGGCTGGGTTTGGATAGAGGCAAGTTTGAGGGAATGGTTTGAGGGAATGAGGTAGAGGCTGGTTTGAGGGAATGACGGAAGGGTGTGTGCAAAGGACAGGGTGAACACCCACTGGGTGCCTGGTAGAGACAGGAAGGAGAATGGAAGGTACACGTACTCATGGCCACATCACGTACTCATGGCCACATTAAGGGAGATCTTGTAATCCAGGCCGGGGTGCCCGGTAGAGACAGGAAGGAGACAGGCTTGAGGAGAATGGAAGCTACAGCTACTCACGGCCAGGCAGAAACATTCAGACAAAATATCATGGGTGGTAGGGACCCTTTGTGTGTTGTGTTCAAGAATGGTATGATGAAAGCAGGTACAGCCAAGAGAAATACAGCATGAGTGCATCCAACGCCTGTGTTCTTAACCACCTGCCATCGTGCCCTGATGAGCCATGACAGCCTGGGCTAGGGAGGGTGGGAGGCGACAGCTACCAGAGACATCCTGAAATAAAATGTTTCACAGGACTCGGCAGGTCAGGACCTCTCCTCCCAGGTGTCCCATTTGGGCATGAAGGATGCTCGACGGGAGGAAATGCCTTCCTCAGCAGCCCCATTTAAACGTTTCTGCGCCTTCATGCAGGGAACCCTGCTGAGTTTCACGATAGCTCAGATCATCACACCTTTAAGAAGATGCTGCCACGAGATGAGAGACGGTTCAAGGCTGCCGACCTCAACGGGGACCAGACAGCCACTCGGGAGGAATTCACTGCCTTTTTGCACCCCGAGGAGTTTGAGCATATGAAGGAAATTGTGGTTTTGGTAAGATAATAGAGCTCGGTGGGAAAAGACCAGGGTGAAAACTGCAGTAAAGTCTTGTCACCCACTACTTACAGAGAGAGAATGTTCTTTAGCCTGAGGGACGCTGGAGAAGGACTCTGGAGGGGAACACCTGTCCTGTCTGCTCAGCACATTAGGGCAGCTGGCTGCTGTCATCAGTAGCCTGGTCCTAGCCACTCAGTACAATCGAGGCTTATGTCTCGCTTACAGCAAGTCCAGTGCAGGTGGCCCCAGCCTCACAGATGAGGCTTCTGGGCAGTTCTCTAAGTGCTCTTAGGCACCCAGGCTCATGTCCCTCCATCTTGTGGCTTCAAGGTCATCCTGGCAACAGCCAGCTGGGGACAAAGGAAAAGAGGGAATGAGAAAGTAATTGTTTTGGTCTATTCTGGCCAGGAAATGACATGTGTCATTCTTTTATATCCCACGGGTTCCTGCTACATAAGGTGAGGTGAGATGGGTACTCAGAGAGAGCAAATGAGTGCAGTGAACACCTAACTATCTCTGTCCCATTTTTCAGCTTTGAGGAAACTAGAAAGATGGAGATGGAATCCACTGGATTGTTAAGCCACATAGAAACTTACAGTAAAACTGTGGTGGGTAGGGCGCTCCCTTAGGTGTGGGTCTTCGGAGGGTTCTTCCAGAGACAGAATGTTCTTCAGCAAGAGGGCAGTTGGAGGACTCTGGAATAGAACATTTTGGAATAGCTGTCTCCTCAGCAAATTTGTCAGAGCAGCTAGCTGCTGTAATCAGTAGCCCAGTCCTAGCCACTCAACACGATCGAAGCTTAAGTCTTGCTTATAGCAAGTCCAGTGTAGGTAGTCTCAGCCCAGGCTTTAAGGAATAGCTCTACTTGTGAGATCTCTGAGTGTAATTGCTTTCCAAGGTGTCTTGTTAGTAGGTCCCAGATGTCCTCATTTGTACAACAGTATATAAGTGCCATCACCTGTTTGCTGGGCCGATCTCCCAAGATACTTCCGCTTCAATGCTGGAAAACAAGTGGCTAAAGCTTTTGTTTGTATCCAGCTCTGAGCTGCTTGAGTTTCCCGGTTGGTAGATGAATCTACTCTTGCCTCATGCTATATCCTCATGCCCTGGCAACCCCAAGGACTGGCCAGTGGCTCTTAAGAATCATTTCTTTTTACCACCTAATGTCTATGAGTGATGGCTAATTTGCCAGAGGATGATGAAGATGGAGAATTATCCACAAAGGGCTTATGTGGCTCTGGATTGGCTCTGCCCTCTGGTTGGCTATGTTCTTTCTCCAGGATGCCTCTAACTTGCTATGACAGTGGACGGTAGATTCAGTTATTCAGCCTACCAAGACACCTAATTAAGAAGTCAGATGCACTTAATAGAGAATGTAATACATTAAAAATTCAGATATACTTTTTATTTTTTAACTGTCCATTATTTTGTATTTTTTCTGACATCAACTTGGTGTTCATGGTGCACTTGACCCTGGGGTCTGTCTCTGTGGTCGTCTGGCCCAGGGGTCCTCAAGTTGGGTTCCTCGCAGGTACCCCAGGGGATAATCTGGCTGCTCAGTCAAGATGGTTGGGTGTGCAGGGCTTACTGATAAAATCAGAATACCCGTGTGTTTACAGGTACATGTCTATTTGAAGAGATTTTTCTGCTCTTAAAATTGTGAGCTGGGGGGTTGTGGGGAGAGGGACAGAAATCACTATCTGTTTTCCACAGATAAGAAGAAAATGCTGGGGAGATAAGGAGACAGGCCAGATGTCACCAAGCATTCAGTCACAAGCTGGACAAAAGAGGACAGTCACTAGGATTCTCAGACTCACTGAGAGCACACAGCCATAGTCATTCTCTTTTCCCTTTTCCTGCCTAGGAAACTCTGGAGGACATTGACAAGAACGGCGACGGGTTTGTGGATCAGGACGAGTATATCGGTGAGTCCTGCTGGAGTTATGCTCAGCTGGCCCACATGGGCAGCTCCCTCCCCCCTCACGTCTGGCCACTTTCCCCAGATCACTCTTTCAGCAACAGCTGTAGCAAATGGTGGTTAACCAGAGGAGAAGGAGTAGGGAGGAACTTGTCACCCCAGCCCAGTGATGTCACCCCAGGGAGTTATTATTAAACCTCGTTCAGTGGAGAAGAGACTGAAAGGCTGGCTCTACCACTAGACTGGCCAGCAGCTGGCCCTGCCACTCGAGAGCTGCCTTTCAGCACGCTCTAGTTTTACCTTTGCAAATGGGTTTGGAGGAAGTTCTACAGATTTATAGTGAGGCTAGTGTGCACAACCTCGGAAAAGACTCAAACCTGATTATGGACCTGGAAGCTCGAGGAGGCACAACTATGATCAGCAGAACTGTTCTTACGCCCAGGATCTCTGCAGCAAGGCATGCGGCTTAGGCAAATCCTTTTACAGCACACACAGCTCCATAGTAGCTTGCGACATTTAGCACCCCTGGTTTCCACTCTTTCCTTGGGAGTACTGCACATACCCAGTATTTGTTCTGAAGGGCTCCATTTAAACACCCTCCAGAAGAGCATTTTCAGGTAACTGAGCATTGGTTGAATGAGACTCAAATTAATGCATCTGGGTCAGAACCCCCATTGCTGGGGAGAGCCCTTCCCTGCAGCCCGGCAGTCCTGCAGGCGTGAAGGACAGGAGCAGGCAGTTTAGAACTTTCATCAGCTCCTCACCAGCTGCTGCTTTGTGCTTTGGCACCTGGCTCCAGCTGCAGACAGCTCTTCTCTTCCCAAGTCTCAGAAAATGAAAGCTGAACAGTCATTTGGGGGATGGAATATAGATATATGCATATGTATGAATTAAATTTCTGCGCACTTTTTTGGGTACCAGTTCCTTAGTTGGTGCTTATTGAGCTGACGTTCATTTACAATGCTGTATAGGGTCTGTGATGGCATTTTCCCAGCAAGTCCGCTATCAGCTGCCCATTCACCATCCACCACCGACCTCTTGGCCCTTTCTATGCATTCCCTTCCCTCCCCTTCTCTGGCCAATGACTATTCAGTTGTCAGAGTCTAAAGCGTTGTTTCTGTATACATACTTAATCAAGGCAATCAGTATCTTTTAGTAAAACTAGAGCCCCAGTCTCTGCCATCAGTCTTTGGTCTTCGATGCCAAAGAATCAGATGCTGTTCTCTGCCTGTGGTAACAGGTAGCGTCTCACTAGAGTAATTCAAGTGATCTTGGGGGTGCCACCTTTGTAGCATAACCTATGCGATGGCCTCCTGTCCACACAGGACAGCCTCGCTCGTGCCTGTTGCGCATGCAGGGAAGGTTCTGAGTCTCAGACCTCTTGCCTTGACAGTGGTGATGGAATTAGACTGACAGAAAACGCTGGCTGATGAAAACGACATTGCACTTTTGATTGAGAGTATGTGCTCTTTCCTGTCCTTCTGGGCTCTGCATTGAAACAGTGCAGAGTCAGGCAAAACTCTTTGAAGTGCCTTTGCTTTAAAGAAGCATTCCATTCTTTGCACTGGCTGAGGAGGAGGTGGGGTCATTGTTCTTAAATGGAATTTGGAGCAGCTTGCAGTCAGGGTGACCTGCTGTGTGGACTTGTGTAGCAAACGGCTGCTTTTCATTTACAGGGGAGGGAGGAGCAATCTTCGGCACAATCCTAGAAATAGGAGTCCTGGCTTCCCCACTTACTAACTCTGTGGACCTAGGACCGTCTCCTACTCCCTATAAGCCTCAGTTTCTTCAGCTGTGAAATGGAAGTAAAGAGTACCCAGACTTGCTGGATTGGATGAAGCACAAATGAGCTAATGTAGCTGACAGTCCTTTTTCAAAAATTAAGAAAAACAATGTGCAATTGTCAGGTGTGAATCTACTCTAACTGAACCAAGGATCCCGCCTTTCTTTTTCCTTTTCTCAGTCCCTACTCTCTCTGCCACTTGACATGTCCAAGTTGTGCTTCCATTAAAGACAAACTGCCCACGGAGTACCTGTCTTTTAGTGACTTAGCAAACAATGCATGTATTTACTGCCTTTTTTCCTTCCCCTGCCATTTTGTAAAATGAGGATTAATGCTCTGTCCTGCAGAATTGTTACAAGGATAAAGTAAATCAATAAAATATGAAACACCCTGGGAAATGATAAAAACAACAGCAGTAATAAACAGTGGTTAAGACCATGAGTTGGAAGCAGAGTACCTGTGCTCCTGTGTAGCCCCAAATTCGTGCTGACTGTGTGTCCTGGGGTCAAGGCTGTGCTCCATGTTTTCATCTATACATCAGGGAGAACAATGGCTAATTCATAGGATCATTAGTAAAAATCAAAGGAGAACAATGTGTATAAAGTATACTTATACAGGAGCCGGGCCCCAGAAAGTGCCTGATAGCGGTTAAGTGGTTATGATTCTTTGTTTTCCCCCATCGAGCGCCAATTTGGATTGCAGAAGGCTTCCCCAGAAAGTGTCCTATTTGATCTCCATAATAACCCTGTGATTTTTACATTGGCACCGTTTACAGACAAGGCAACTTAAGACTCGGTCACTGAACTAAGTTACTTAATCCCAGTTACTGAACTAAGAGCCAGAATTCATCAAAGGGGCAAGATCAGTTCTTCTAAGTCCACCGAGCGGCTCTCATTGTATCAACCCCAAGAAACTGCACACCAGGGGTTCGGGTTAAGTCTGAGGATGGGTCATCAACCTTGCAAAAACTCATGAGGTCAGGGCCTCCCTGGTGGCACAAGGGGTTAAGACACAGTCTATGAGGCTGTCCATAGCCGCTGCAGCATGAGTTTGATCCCCGGCCAGGCAGCTACCCACATGGCACGGTAGACTTCTCCTGTCTCTCCTGCTGCTCCCCTCAGCGTGTATTTCAGTCAGTGTGCCTGTTCTGTTCCCTGCTCTGTCTCTGGTAAATTCTCTCACCCCCCACACCTCTGGCCTGTACCCCAGTTCTTGTTTAAAAAAAAAAACAACTCATGAGGTTGGGTTTTCTTTGACTTTTACATTTCACTTATCTTCGTAATCCAAACAACATTCCCTTCTAGCGGATATGTTCTCCCACGAGGAGAGTGGACCCGAGCCAGACTGGGTTTTGTCGGAGAGGGAGCAGTTCAATGAATTCCGAGATCTGAACAAGGATGGGAAGTTGGATCAAGATGAGATTCGCCACTGGATCCTCCCTCAGGACTATGACCATGCGCAGGCTGAGGCCAGGCACCTGGTCTATGAGTCAGATAAAAACAAGGTATTTCACATTCTCCCGGGGTGGTTCATTAAAGGGAGAGACGGTTTACATAAGATTGGTTCTGTTTACCACTTTGCTGATAGCATTGACCTGTGTGGCTCTGTCCTTACTGACTTCCTCATTCTTGCCAGACAGTAAAGAACTTTAAACTTGAGTTGAGACCATGATAAGCCAGGGTGAGCTCAAGAGGCCCAGACATTTCTGGATCATCTGTAGGCCACACGCTTACCTTCGCTCCCACCTCCTAGACTGTAGAACTGGTGACTTTGTTTGCTAAGAACAGGGCAGGGGTTTAAGAAGTACACCCTTCATTGCCCTGGGACTGACTTGTTCCTCCTTCTTTCAGCCAGGAATGTCGGCAGAGGATTGTCAGGAGTTTGTGATGTGTCAGGTAGAAGGAAGCTCATCCCATTAAAACCCATTATATTCACCACTGTTGAGTAATTGGTGAGGGAAAATTCTGATGAAACTCCAGTGGTGTCATTCTATATAGGCTTATTTCAGAGCAAGTCTGACACTTCAAAAGCAAGATCACATTGCTGGCTCTGAGGCCCAGAAGTTCAGCATCTGTTGATAAATAGCCAAACGATTTAATAAGATTTAGGAAGTAGTCCCCCACTTCCTAAAAGACAGTTTTGCAGTCAGGTCATAAAAGAGAAATAGAATTCTTCCAGGCCTGTTTTGGGGAAGCTTGCACTGTTTGAAGACATACATAGATTCCAGGACCTGCCAGATAGATTTAGCATAGATTTTATAGCAGGAAGCTGTTTGAATTTGGGGTCTTACAGTTCAGTAAGGGTAGAAAAAGGAGTTACCTGGCAGTTTTTAAATTATTAAATGTGGAGTTTTACATATTTACATAAGCTTCATGCTAAATTATTATTCGGACTTGGGCCTTCCTGGTGGCGCAAGAGGTTAAGCACCTCACTATGAAGCAATCTGCAGCCTCTGCAGCACGAGTTTGATCCCTGGCCAGCCAGGGAGCAACCCACATGGCGAGGCAGACCTCTCCTGTCTCGCCCGCTGCTCCCCTCAGCAGTGTGTTTCAGTCAGTCTGCCTGTTCTGTTCCCCACTCTGTCTCCGGTGGATCCTCTCACACTCTACGTCTCTGGCTTGTACTCCAGCTCTTGTATGCATGAATAGATAAATCTTTAAAAAAAAAAATCATTATTCGGGCTTATCAGAGCTTCTATGACATTGCTTCTTCCTCTCTCCTACAGGATGAAAAGCTAACTAAAGAGGAGATACTGGAGAACTGGAACATGTTTGTTGGAAGCCAAGCCACCAATTACGGGGAAGACCTCACAAAAAATCACGATGAACTTTGATGTACACTCACCCTCGTGGGGCAGACTGTCATAGGGCTTTCTTTCATTGTCTTAGATGGTTGTATACTTGTCTTATTTACAGTGGTTTGTCCCCCCAAAAGCAAGCTTATAATCTTAGATTGGGGTTAAATTGTTTTTCACTCAGTGTTTACTGAGAAATAGTCATCATTACTGTTTCAGTAAGAATTCTTTCAAAGCCCATTAAAATCTGGGTAAAAGAGGGGACCCCTACATTGCTCTAAGGGGATAAACTGCTAGCTTTTTCCATTAAATTTAAAGGGTGAGAATATTTGGAAAAGCTTTGTTATTCAGAAGTTGGGTGAGTTGAGGGGAAGGATATGGAGTGACTGCTATGGATTTTAACTGCAAATTTTTACATTCACCACTGTTGAGTAATTGGTGAGGGAAAATTCTGATGAAGCTCCACTGGTATCATTCCATGTAGGCTTACTTTAGAGCAAGTCTGATACTTCAGATTCTTCCTTTTTGACATTGTGCTCTGAGCTGTTACTGTAAATGGTTCTAAAACCTCTGTGCATTTTTCTGTACGGATCTGTTAATGTGCACAACAAATTCACATCTTTGGGTTTTTTTTTTTTTGCTTTGTTTTTATAATAAGAAGCAATCAAGAAAGATAATGTGAAAAAGAAAGGAATTTTAGAGGTAGGGAAAAGATGAATGTCAGGCATGAAGAACTATGAGGAAATGGTAAACAATTATACTTGAGAAATTTTTCGACTTGAAGGAAGTCTGATCTTTGAAAAAGTAACTAGAGATATAATCCATTTCCTAGTGATCACCAGTGGGAATGCAGGAGTGGCTGGCTAGGGGAGCACTGGAACCCAGCACGTCCTGGCCTGGGGAAGCCACGCGCCTGCACCTGCCCCAGGGACGTCTTACACCATGGAACTAGGATCATGTGATGTTCCATGGCATTGACTGACTGGTAGAAACAACCTCTACAGGTTGAAATTCCACCTCTTAAATAGGAAGTGAATGAAATAAAGGATCCCCGTGAGGATTTTCTATTGTGTCCTGTCTTGTTTAACTTCATATGTACTGTGACATCATTATTCCTTACAGAATTTAACAGTGGGATGGGATTATAGGAATAAGATTAGAAAGATTCTGGATTTTTTTAATCTGCATGTGCAGAATATATCTATTTACTTACTGGATAAAATGTATGCTTCCTTCTCTATGCTATTAGGGAATCTGCAGGCCGTTGTAACTAAGATCTTTCTATATGTTTCAATTGGGGGAAAAAAACCCAGTTAGCACGTCATCAGCATCATTTCCCACCACTCTCCCTTTCACCTCCCATCCCCCATCCCTCGACTTTCTGGTTCACAAATACACCAATTTCACTCTCAGGTTGCGCATTTGCACTTGCTCTCTTCGATTCAGAACCCACATTTTGGACAGTTCAAATACTACCTCCTCAATGGGACTTTCCAGACTTCACCATTTGTAGCAGTTCCTACTTGAGTCCCTATCATGCCTGTTTTATTTTCTTGGGGTGTGTGTTGCCATTTATATCTGTTACCGAAGGCTGCCATATAAATTATCACAAAGTAGATGGTGTACAACAGACATTTACCTTTCGGGTCCGGAGATTGAAATGGAGACGTGGGCGGGGCTGTGATCCCTCTGGAAGCTCTAAGAAATCTTCCTTTGGCTGTGGCTGCATCACTCCAATCTCTGCCACCATCTCTCTCCCAGCCTTCTCCTCTCCATTGCTCCTCTATCTTTTATAAGGACACCTGTCATTGGGTTTGGGGTCCACCTGGGTAATTCAGGATGACCTCCTCTTGAGATCCTTAATTACTTTTGCAAGGATTTTTTCCAAGAGAGGTTATCCAAGTTAGAGGTGGAACCACCATTTAACCTCCCATACCATTTGACATCTTGTTCTTACCCTGTCTGTCTTCCCCAGGCTGCAATATGACCTTGACGAGATCAGTGGTCTGGCCTTATTTATTGCTTTCCAGGACCTAGAACAGTAGCGGCTATCTACAGTAAGTACTCAGTAATTATTTGCTTAATGAGTGAGAGGTTATTAGCTTTAATCACAGAGAATATTCCAGAAGGGGGAAAAAACAATCTGTAAAAAATTAAATAGCCAACATTTCCTGAATGAGAAGTAATTTGCTCAAGATTCCACAGTGATTCAGTGGCAGGGTCAGAATTCAAATCTAGGGGTCCTGGCTCCAAAAATTCTACTCTTCCAAATTTTGATATATGTTCTCTTTATTTGCTTGACCACATTAAATGATAATGTGGTCAGGAAACAAGAATCTTTCCTCTTACCTTGAAATAGGCTGACTTTTTTTAAGCAATGAAACATTGAAAGAAAATGTGACAATAACATCTCATAACCTAATTGTAAGCATAATACTCTTAAAAGGTGCTAACATTGGGCCTCCGCTGGTGGCGCAGAGGTTGAGTGCTGGGTTGCGAGGCTGCCCGCAGCCTCTGCAGTGCCAGTTCGATCCCTGGCCACTGGCAAGGGTCCCACAGGGAAAAAAAAAAAGTGCTAACATTATTTTTCCCCAAAAGGTCCAAATAAATGGAGTTCCTCCTGTTGACCTTGAGCAGGTCAAATGCCAGGGGTCAGGTAGATGAACATCTGCAAACACCAAGGCTCTGGTCAATAGAGCTGTAGGGTAAGGTAAAAAGTATCAGGCTTTTCTGCCCTCCCGCCATTAGGATAGATGAGGGAACCCTGTGGTCCTGAATGCATGCCTGATGGCGGGCACCTGAAGTGGGTACACCTGGGCTGAGAGACTGAGTTTATAAGGGCGGCGTCACGGGGACGCCAGCAGAAGCCAAGAACGAACGGAAGCCGAGAGAAGAAGAGAAGCAGAGAGAAGGCCAGAGAGAGCCCAAATAGAGTGAGGATTTGCTGGGGGCTGAGAGGCCTGCCAGCCTCCCGGGCCCCCAGCACCCCTGCCTGCCATACGCCTGGTAAATCTAAATAAAAGACCTGCAAAAGCCACTGAGGACTCTGACTCCTCCTTTACCCAGTCTGCTGGGATCATAAAGATCCTGCACTGTGCCCACTCCTGCCCCTACAATTGGCATAAGTCGGCAAGATGATCCATGCAAACAGGTATGGAGCCCTCCGAAGACCTGGAGGGACTACGGAGTAACAGACTGTGTTTGCCTGTGACAACTCTGGAGGCCTCATGCCAGCACAGGAGATGGACAAGGTCCGGGAGCTGCAAGGACCAGCCCAAGACCGCCGAGGCAGCTGAATAGTTGGGGAAAGAAAGAGGACCACGATTCAGAGCTTGCCAGTGCTGACACAAGGAAGTAAGCCTATGGACTTGGGACTCATGGACTTGGACTGACAATCCTGACAGAAGGCGGAGGACCTTGGCAGGTTATGGTTTTTGGGAATCTGGGCGTGGCCAGTGGGCCTCAGTGGCCAAAAGCAGCCTGTGTATGCCCAGCAGCCAGGCGGAGGAAAAAAGCCAATTTTGAGAAGGCAAAAGCTGGTGCTAAGTTGAGCAGCCCCGAGCGGCTGTTAAGCAGCCTGAGTGTGCTGGAGACCAGTGAGTCTCTTAAAATCACCTGTGGGTGATGCCCTGCTTGTTGTCGAGTGAGGGTGAGGAGCTGAGGAACCCATCCTTGGGGGACGGGTGGGGAACGTGGCTTGGGGTGGAGCCCAAGCCGAATAGGGGCCCAAGAGAGGCCACATGTGGAGTTTGGATCCCCGACCCATGTGCTTGTGCAGTGGGTTGGCCTGAGCGCAGGGGTCTGCGTGTGGCATTGGTGGCTATGAAGGCCGAGTGTTGGAGCGACCGCAGACAGAAACCCTGAGGGTTGGCGAGTACCCCCAACAGTAGAATAGAATCCCCAGTCCCAGAGTGAGTGCATCCTGGGGGTGGATGCGGGGTGTGGCTTGTAGCTGAGACTACAGCCAGAGAAGGCCAGGAAGCCTGACGGCTCCTGGTGTGTGACAGCAGATGCCGTGAGTGGTTCCCCTCCCTTGTATGAGCAGCGCCTTCGGCAGCAGATTTGGTGGCTCATCTGCTGGTGCCAATAATTGTCTTTTGCCACTTGGTTGGTGCCCTGGAATTATTTGTGTTCTGTTGTATTTTATGTATTTTGTTGTTCTATTGTGATGTATATTACTTGTTATTGTGGGCCATGGCTGCAGTGTTGTATTGCCAAGAGAAACATAGACTGTCTGGCAGAAAACCGTGAGAGGGTGGATTGTAGGGTAAGGTAAAAAGTATCAGGCTTTTCTGCCCTCCCACCATTAGGATAGATGAGGGAACCCTGTGGTCCTGAATGCATGCCTGAATGCATGGCAGGCACCTGAAGTGGGTACACCTGGGATCAACTGAGTTTATAAGGGAGGCATCACAGGGACACCAGCAGAAGCCAAGAATGAATGGAAGCCGGGAGAACGCCAGAGAGCCCAGATAGAGTGAGGATTTGCTGGGGGCTGGGAGGACTGCCAGCCTCCCGGCCCCCCAACACCCCTGCCTGCCATATGCCTGGTAAATCTAAATGAAAGATCTGCAAAAGCCACTGAGGACTCTGACTCCTCCTTTACCCGGTCTGCTGGGATCATAGAGATCCTGCACTGTGCCCACTCCTGCCCCTACAAGAGCTTTGGCCAATGGTTGCTTTATATAAGTTACACATAGTAAGATGCTAAATAGATTTTGAGCTATAAGTTGTTCTTTTTTTTAAAATATCTTTTTTTTTAAAAAATTAATTTATACAAGAAACAGGGCACAGGCCAGATGTGCGGGAGGGTGAGAGGATTCACCGGAGACAGAGTGGGGAACAGAACAGGCAGACTAATGAAATACACTGCTGAGGGGAGCAGCGGGCAAGACAGGAGAGGTCTGCTGTGCCTTGTGGGTTTCTCGCTGGCCGGTGGGGATCCAATCCGCGCTGCAGAGGCTGCGGACAGCCTCACAGTACGTCGCTCAACCGTCTGTACCACCTCGGAGGCTCAAGTTTTTCTTTTTAAATCGGTGCCAGCTGAAGAGAATCCACAAAGAGACTAGTGCTTCTAGGGCTGAATTTGACACTATTAAAGAAAAGAAAACCTCAGCTAGGGGACATAGCTGTTAACGTGGCAATTTGTAAAACCTTAGATTTCTAATGGGGTCTGACTGTTTCAAGGAAAACATATTTTGTTTCTAGGTAACATTTCATGTCTGATTATGAACACATGCTATAAAATTGACCTGTAATGGGAAATATTGTAATGTCACAAAGCATTATCTATATGCTTAATGTGACTTAAAGCATTAATTGCTAGGAGACAAAATCTGTCCAAGCAAAACATGAACACACATTTTGTTCCTCTTGTCTTATTGTGTGTTTTTGAATGAATTCGAGTGTAACAAAAATGTAGTTAGGAAATCAGCACTACCTGAAGGTTTTCTTCACATGCCTGGATTATTATTGCAGTTCCTTGTTAGCACAGGCACGAACCACCTGCTCAGAAGTGCTCAGCAAATAGCAGCTACATGGCCACTAGTTGGATCTCGGCTAAAACATCTTATGAGATGAGTGATGAATAGCTGACTGTTGTTTTTTTTTTTAAGTCTTTCTAGATTTATTTTGCCACGTTTATAATAAAATTCAGCTTCCTTCAAGTACATGCAACTAAGAGTTGGCTCTCTCTGGAGTCTTAAAGCAAGTTTACAGTGCTAGAATTTCCCACTAAAGCCAACAAGTGAAGTAATGTTCACTGCTTTGGCTCACATTTAAGTATTAAAAATTTGAGCAGTGGAAACATTGTCATCAGCACTTAAACTCAGGAGGTGTACAGGAATTTGGAACTATTTCCAAAGAATCCTTCTTTGGAAGGATTGTGGTGCTGTGGCTAAGTCTGAGTTCCCTTCAGTTCCCTTCAGTTCCCTTCAGTTCCAGTGTCTGAGATTGGGCACACTGAGGTGTCACTAAGTAGCATATATTCCATCATCTCTGGAATATGCAGGCTGGGGTGTCCACACACACATCCAAGGAACTTAATAGGAAGAAATAGGAATGACCTGGGGAACCAGTTCCTGTATTTA